CAGGGCCAGGAGCAAGGGACATGTCCCTTCTTGAGTGTCGTGCCAGGGCACGAGCTGGTGGCACAGGGTGGGAGGGGTTGGACAGAATCGTAGCATCACAGAATGGTTTGGGCTGGAAGGGACCTTAAAGATCCTCTCATTCCAGCCCCACTTCCATGGGACACCTCCCACTAGAGCAGGTTGCTCAAAGCCACATCCAGCCTGGCCAACAGCTAGTTAACCTGAATGTTTAATTGAATGTATAGGGTATATGCAGTTCTTTGTTCTTCATTTGACAGTTTTAGTAGCTACAGCAGCTGCAGCAGGCTGCAATATCCCTCAACTTTGTTTAATTGATACTTAGATGTGATAGTTTAATAAGGGGTTGCTGTGTAGTGTTGTTCTTACAGTTAACAGCAAGTTCTTTCTTTCTTTAATTCCATAAATATTACTGTAGACTAAATAATAATATTTATATTAGCTTTTAAGGGATTTATCTCCTTTCTGCTGCTGTGTTTATGGGGCTACAGAGATACTGGGTAAACCAATCTTAAAAGGTGCTCCATTATGGGAGTGGTTCAGCAACAGAGCTGGGGTAGGAAGGTTGTGATCCTGCAAGTGTCAGAAGGATGCTGAGTGCCTCTCTGAACACCTGTGGGAAGGAAGTGGTGGACTCCAGAGCCTTAAATTTTGAGTCATAATGGTGAATGGATTTTAGGACACTGTAGCAAGTTGGGGCAAAAAGTCTTGAGAAGTATCGTTCCCCTAATGCAGAGTATTTACAAATTGTGTGCTTAATTTGGCTTCTTGAAAGCCTTGTGAATGTGCTGAGCTGGGTGTTTGACCTCAGCAGCACTACTTAGGTGTTTATGGTTAAGTGTGTTTTTAAATCTCCACACAATTAGCCTTGGGAACTTGATTTCAAAGCAGACCTCAGTCTTGCCTTGGAAGGATTTGGGATCTGGATGATGAGAGCCAGCACCGTGCTCAGCTGGCAGCCTGGGAGGTCAGTGGTGGGACAGGGACACTGGTGGCACGTGGAGAGAGCCAGGCCCTGAGCTGCTTGACAGCAAAAGCACCATCCTTTGTGGTCTGTCTGTTGATGCAACATAAGTCAGTTGGGAAATGGCACTGCCCAGGCTGAGCAGTGCTCAGAAAACTGCTTAGAAGTTGCTTCACGCCAAGCAATAATTTCTCCTTCAATGAAGGAGATAAGTGAGAAATGAATTAATCCTGTTTTTATTTTTCATCTTGAGATGGGACCCTTGTGTGCCTTCTCCCTCATGCAGACAGACTGTACCTGGCCTCAACCCAAGGCTGTCTGACCCTCCCAGCTCACGTGCTGGTGGGATGTGTCCCCAGCAGCTCTGCAGTTGCCATCTTCTCAAGGGTCCCAGTGTGGAGACATGGAGCTGACATGTTTAGAACTAATGTTACCGTGAAGAAATGGTACCTGAGTTCAGATTTATTGGGGAAAAAATGTGGCTGGAGTATGGTTAAATCCAATCTTTTTATTTTCTTAGCCTTGAATCTGATAGACTCCCATGATCTTCATGGGAATTTTATTCTTACCATGGATTTTATTCACATCTTAAATTTTTAGATTGCTCCTTCTCCTCCTTTAAATATCATCAAAGTGCTAAATCTA